AAAAATTCCTAATTGAGAAGTAAAAAAAAAAAAAGAAAAATATAACTTCCCCACCCATACCCACACAAAAAATAGAGATAATAATTATTTACTCTGTTGTATTTGGATAATTTTATTTCATTAAGATGCACACAATACATTCAATAATATTAGTTTCCATCACTTGATTCTCATGGGACTGAGACACTGGTAAAATCTGAGGAAAATTAATTCTTAAAGTGTGTTTACTTTCCAAACAAAATAAATTAGTTAGCTTTGACTGTTTAAACTTAAGATAAAATTGAGGCTAGTTGAGTAAACATTTTTTTCCAAATATAATTAAAACAATCATTGTTTTATATATTCAATAAATTCAAAATAATATATGTCTATATTTATATCTGAAGTTTTTTTCAGAGAGAGGAACCTATCTACATTATTTGCACTTTAAGATGTGGACTGGGTGGTAGTATCTTCAATCCTGCTCTTAGACACGTGAAATAGATTCCAGTCACTTAAAAAAATCAATTTAGTAAACAAAAGAAAACAGCATTACCAACACAAAGCAGTAAAAAAATAAGGGGAAAAAATCCTACCATAGCCAGTGTTTGAACTGACCTCAGTTGATTATTCCTTCCACTTTGGTGTAACCACTATAGCTGGCTGCCAGGATCCTTTATTATATTGGGTATTCTTTTATTTTACTCAGCCTCCCTGACTGGCTTCTTCCGTCTAACTCTGTATTTTAGAGCAGACCAAGCCTTCTTTTTTCTTTCTTTTCTTTTCTTTTCTTTTCTTTTCTTTTCTTTTCTTTTCTTTTCTTTTCTTCTTTTCTTTTCTTTTCTTTTCTTTCCTTTCCTTAACTTAAATTCTGGCTCTTGATGATCTATCCACTTTCCCAGTTTCTATACATTTTTACATCAATATCCATATGAACATATAGATATATCAATATAGAGATAAATTGAAAATTCTCAAACTTAGACCTCCATCTTTGGAGGTCTACAACCCACTATCTTTGCTTCATTCCTATAATCCAAACATATTTCCAATGAACTGTTCTAAATTTCCACATGAAAGTTTAATGAAGTGGGATATGTCCAAATTTTAACCTCTAATTTTTGCCCCCAAAATCTGTTCTACTCTCAAAGTGGCCCAAGTTGATGGGAAAAAAAAAAAAAAAAAAAAAAAAAAAAAAAAAAAAAAAAAAAAAAAAAAAAAAAAAAAAAAAAAAAAAAGACCACAACATCTTCCTACCTGTCCAGGTCAAAAATCTTGTAGTCATCCTTCATTTCTGTTATTCTATAATCCTTCATAGGCTATACTTTAGGAAATCCTATTGACTATACCCTCAAAATCTGTCTGGTATATAATAAATTTTCATCACATCACCGGCTACAATCCTGGCATTTTGTGCACCTGGATTATCGCAGTATACTTCTAAGAGTTCTTTCTTACGCACCTTGGCTCCTACCATCTATTTGAAAAGACTGAAGAGAGAATACAGACTGGTGTGCATTTCTTTTTCTCCTTTGTTTTCTTTTCCTTTCTTCCTTCCTTCCTTCCTTCCTTCCTTCCTTCCTTCCTTCCTTCCTTCCTTCCTTCTTCTTCCTCCCTTCCCTCCGTTCAATTAGGTAAGCATGAACATCTCATTTCTCTATTCAAAACCTATCAATTGTTCTTTACAGTGAAAGTCAGTCCTCACGAAGTTATCAAGTACCCTTTATCTCTTTGATCTTACTCTCCTCTAATTCCTTAACTCATTTCACTTCAGTTATTCTGGGCTCCTTGTTCTTCCTTAAAAACACTAAGCATTTTCCCTTTGCACTGACTGATCACTATCCTTGAAATTAGTTTTCCCCAGGTATTCATGGAGTTAACCATTAGAACTTCTTTCCAGTCCTGTTTCAAACGCCACTGAAAACTACAACCCCCAAAACCCATTTCTCCTTTCCCAATTTATTTTAAAATAAATATTTTCCACAGAAAATATCACTATTGAACACAATGCATAATGTGTTTATCACTTAATTATTTCATTTGCCAAATTCTACTAGAATGATTGTTGGTTCACAAACTGGCCCTTCCACACACAGGGCAAGGGGAGGTGGAAGAAGGAGGAAGGCCCCTCCAGACTGGCCAGCGGCAGGTTTAATAAGCAAAGGAACTTGCATACGAGGCTTGTCTTGAGCAGCAACAGGACAAGTTACATTTCTGCACCTGCCAGCC